CACGATTTGAGAAGAGAAGAGAGAAAAGGAACATGAAAGGATAAAAAGAGAGAGAAAGAAAACCAGACGAGAATAAGATTTTTTCTCTTGCCTTGAAAGGATAGGAGAGGAGAAGAGAGGAGAGGAGAGGAGAGGAGAGGAGAGGAGAGGAGAGGAGAGAAATAGAGAACAGAAGAAAAGAAAGGGAAGAAAGAAAAGGGATGAGACAAATGAAGGCAAAACAATTGCAAGAGAAAATAAAATGGAAAGTAAAGTAAGCAGAATTTTTCGCGCGTTTCACGAGCAAGGGTTTTCACGTTCAGGTCGAAAGTATAAATTACAAACAAACTTTATGCAATATTGTCGCATATAGAAACTGCACAGTTAGAATTATTGAATAGGTATGTGCATTTTTCTAGACTATGTCGAGTTGGTATTGCACTGCATTATGGGGAAATAAAAATGAAATAAACGCCATTTTGGAAATATGTCCCCAAACAGTCCCACAATGCATTGCAATGTCAACTCGATTAAATTTTTTCCTCCGACATCGGAATGGCTAATATAGTCCCTTTCTCATTCAATGCATACCGCTATTTTTGATGACTACAGACTTGCATTTATAAAAGTTTAGCCTTGTTTGTAAGTTAGCTATTTACAAATACCATTTCTGCGTTCATATTAAAAGCCCAAGACGGATGCATGAACATGGACTAGTTTTTTATACAAATTAACGCGAACGGGGACCTAAGAATGAAGATATCCAGAGAGTTGGTTTGGAAGAAGCCAAACACCTTCATTAGTGGCGGATGACATGGGTTTCATGGAAAACCCCTATGCAAAGCCTATCGCGCCAGATTTTACTCATGTGCGTGGCGGACATTTTCATGGAAACCCGCAAATAACCTTGCTTGATATCAGACAACAGCGAGCCAATCACTGTTACAGCAGTTTTCACAGTGGAATTAAAATCTTGTCCCACAAACAACTACACAGTATCTGTTTTAAAGAGTACTACAAGGATTACGAAGCATTTGTCATTTATTTTCAAAGGAAAGTTAACGATTTAAAACAATTTATAATCAATTTGCCGCGATCAGAATTTTAATTTTTAATACATTTTGGCTAACTTGTTGAGCTTGTGGGACATAGCAACGGTAACTAGGGGGTGTCAGAACCTTGAATTTGGCTTTTTTCAATAGGAATATTCAGGATTTCATTAGTATATCATGCATTAAGTTGTCATATCTTTAATTTACAGATTTCAYAGGATAAAACTATTTACGAAGATTTACAATATTATTTAATCATCACAATAACAATTATATTCAAGCATTGGAAAAATTTTTTTAGATCAGAAAACATTTGCCGAGAATACTCAAAACATTAAGAAAAAAAAAAAACTATACAAGAAATAAGTAGTAGTATTCAACAAGTTATCGAGTCTTAAATTGAGAGAGTAGTTTAGTAATCTGATTCGTCAGAAGAGTAGAATACGTATCTACGTTCGGCATTCTTCGGCGCACCCTCGGCTCCCTCACTCGGCTGTTCGTCTTCCTCGTCGGAAAAGGCGTGAGCAACACTAGAAGATTTTTTACAGAGTCTTGAGGTGCTTGCTTTTGCAAAGATAAATTTCACCAAACGGCGAGGCAGAAGTAAGAAGCCCAACTTCATACAAAATACACSAACAAGGAAATAGACTCCGCATACAGTAGCATACAGTATGCGGTAAAACACAAAACCGCATGCGTAGAGCACATGCGCAAACAAGTACGGGACCAGCAGAAGGATGCAAGTGAAGACGATATACGGGAAAAAACTGATGGTAATTTTTAAAAAACCACAGGCAGCCAGAATCAAGACATAACAGGTCAATAGTATAGCGTAAGGATCTCGTTTGAATCCAAGAAGACGCAGAGGTAAAATAGGATGGTTGCGGTTCAAGTCGTAGAGCCCCTGTTGCCAACTTCTCCCATATCTGAAACAGGAAATTGACTTTGTTAAAAATATTCTTAAATTTTGCGTGTTAATTCTGATTCGAAGTGCGATCAAAACTTACAGATACTTAATAGTCGTGCAATATTGCATGCTGCATGCATGCGCAACAGGTTTTCTTTTTATTTCAACAAAGAATGTTTTTTAGCAGAAAAAGTTGTTGCGCGCACGGAATGGTGATATAAGTGACATTCCCTATATGCGATATTCTCGTCTYGCAGCAAGACTGCTTCACTCTGATACCTGTACTATCTAGAGGCAATTTGTGGTGTATTTTGCTTAGGATTCTTAATAGAGTTAGGTTTCGCGCCTTTTTTTTTGCCATTAGCAAACGAATTTCCAACTGGATGGATTGGTTGAAATAGTAAATCCCCTGGTCTCTACTGAATGTATTGGTAATCGTGTGAGTACTTTATTGTTGGTTATAAGATTTCATGTATGTCTTTCTAAGGTATGCTTAGTCCAAGGCTTTAGTGTTATTAGGTTTGAGCTCAAAGCTCGGGGGAATTTCCACTTAACCGCAACATCAAGGTAACGCCTAGAAAACAATTTTACAAAAACTAGAAATACAAAAGAATGACTTACTCTGTATTATTGGACGATTCTCCATCTGATTCAAACTCCATCTTCAATCAAGTCTTTTTTTTACCACTCATTTTTTGTAACCGACAGCGGAATTCATTCGTAGTCTTCTCGGAAATGCGCACAATTTTAATTGCTTTATGACGTCACTGTTACGTCATTAGCGGGGAGAACTGGTAACAAGTGGTTATTAGAGACTGGAAACTAAACATTACGTTATGCATAATCTCGAGCCCAGAGTCTTACGGTGTTTTGGTCAGCGGAGATACGTCTGTACTTAATATATGGTAAAATAATTTAGTTTTAATGTAAGTGTTCATTTTTTTTGTTTTTTTTATTTATTTGTGACATTCTTGGTTGTTCATAGATTTTATTAATTTGTGTGTCTATTTATTCTCCCACACATTTTTCCTTGTTTTGAGCTTTTAAAAACTTTATGATTACACGCTGCAATGCTCTATAGGCAGCTTCAGACAAGTTGCAGAGAAAAGTGCTCCGTGTAATTGCGCCTTAAAGAGAAAATCAACTGTATTCACTAATAACAGTTCTCCTGCCATTTTGATACTAAAACTTGAAATAGAAAAATAACCATTAATAACGACATCAGGTTTCGAAAAAAATTAGTCACGTAAAGAAGAGCCCCCTCGGCGATACTAAGTTCTTCTGATTCATCTTCCATGAAATTCACCTCACTCAATCGATGGCGCGAGTTTTGAAACTTGTCTTCGGAGAATCTCCATGTCTTTCGCCTTCGTGCTGGTACGATCTTGATTCGGAAAGTCTTCGTTGTTCTGAAGTCACTCGGATCTTGTTTCGGCAAGTGCGAATCGTCGTCGTTGCCTCGTGTGTCATTCGTGTACCCTTCGTCATTATTATCGACCAAATTATTAACTTTTCGTCCAAGTGATCGAAAAATTAAGACAGGAGCTCCAAATATTTGCCAGACAAATCCATGTAGTGTTCGTATGGCCTTGTATGTTATGTAGCCTGTAGCTGTTATGAATAGCGTCGCCAGTAACGGAATAATTAGACTGACAAGGAAGGTAACTGTGGCTGTTGCGATTATGCTACCTTCAAGAACGGCAAAGATTAACATCCCAATCCCAAAACTTCCACAGACAACGAGAAGGAAGACGATTAGTGGAAGAAAAGCAAAGCCAAGAAACGTAGCACAAAAAGTGTAGATTAATGGACGATGGTGGAGATGACGATGGTGGAGAAGACAAGAGGACAACAGGCTTGACACTTGAAGCTTCTTCATCACATTCCATATTCCTTTGATGAAAAATGAAGTCCAACTTGAAGTGCGTTGTTGTTCAGGATTCGAGTACTCTTTATTCGCTCCAGTTATCATAGATGTCTCTGCCATTGGAAATCACGAAATCCAGATAAGGTTTTAGCCAATGTCTTCATAAATCTATTTTTTTTGCAAACTCTAACGTAAGCAAATAGAGAAATAGATTCAAATTGACCGCGCGCGCCGCATACGCTCGTTCAACAGACCAGCTGAGTCGACTGTTTTCCCCGAAATGTCTTGTGGGTCAACTATTTTTGGTTAGCATTTTCCTAGCAAGCGCTGAGTACAATGTGAATTTCTCTTGTTGAATAAACTAGAATCCCACCATGAGCTCAACTAGTAGCATTTACCATCAATTTAAAGAATGATGAAAATATACATATTTCATAGTTTCTCTTGGTAGAATCATGGGAAATGCTAATCAAATTATGTTGTTGGATACTCAGTTCTGATTGGTTGACCTTGAGTTTGTTCTGGGCCCGGTTGTATGAAGTTTGGATAGCGCTATCCAACTGGTAAATCCTTAGGCAGTGGATAAGTCGATGCTGTTATCTAATAAATTTAGCCACTGGATAAGATTTATCCGTCGGATAGCGCTATCCACGCTTTGTACAACTGGGCCCTGAAGAACAACACTGCTGGGAGTTGTGGATAATTTTTAAAGTTTACTGAAGATGACGAAAATGACGTCAAAGTGCTAACCGCTTTTTACTTTTCCTCCGAACACTAGCCAATTCTCTTACTTACTTGTAAAATGTATTGAAGATGACGTTAGATACGTCGAAACATGTCTATTAAAAATGTTATATTGTTTCTTAAAATATTAGTACATTTACTGCTTCTGAGACCATTCGTAATCTTTGAATATTTTATGCGGACGTGCAATACAAGTTGATCGTCACGGTTAGTTTTAAAGACAATTTAGTCATGTGCGAATTTTGAAGGCTGAGTTTTGCTTTCTTTCATTTCAATGCTTTTTTTCTGCCCTTTTATTTTCGACATCATGTCCTTAATATGAAAAAAAAAAACAAAAAAAAAAAACAGTTTTTTTTTCATTTTAAAGTTGTACATCATAAATGTCATAAAGGTGCCGCTCCAAACCGAGGCTTCTCGTTCCCCATAGCAACGGGATGGCCTTTTAACCACACTAAAAGAATTCGACATGATCCAATAACGAGTAAAACACAGTAATAAATAATCCTTTAAAAGAGCGTTTGATAGAAAACCCATGCTGATTTAATATTAGCTATGGACCTAATAGATCTGATCGGCGACTCGAGGACTGATAGTCTACCTCCAGGTTTTCTGCGCTCGATTAAGATTAAATACAAGCAAGAGGCTTCGCATGTGTTCCCGAAGGATGCAGAAAAACAGAAGACCGCAGGCGAGCCAGCCGATCGGGTTGGATCTTCTTTAAGTGATAAATCAACACCGGTAAGACTGCTAACTCACCTAACACTTCTTGTTCCACGATTCAAATGATTAAGAACTTCCAAGGACAAGACATTCAAAATTTTACAGTCCACTGTTTTGTTTGTTTACACTAAAGGAATTACGCAAATTTATTGTACCTCTAATTATATTTTTACGTTTATAAATTGGATTTCAAGGAGTTTAATACTTGAATAGAATATCCGAGAACTTCTTATATTTCAAACGAGATAATAATTGAAAGAAAACTGCGTTGAAAACCACTATTGATATAGCTATGAAAGTGGTGTGTGTCATTGAAAAGGTGGTGCGAATGATAGGTAGATCGCATTAACGCCGTTTGCATTACTACGCGGCCACCCCAGAGACAAATCGCGTCGTGTAGTTTGCAATAGACTGCCGTCAATCAAACACCTCATCCTACTTGAATATACTGAAACAATCTTTGCAATTGCTTTCGGAACTTTCCTTCGTGATATCTGACTGAGAAAGTTTGATAGAAAAGCCAACTCACTGATCCAAACGTGTATAAATGGCGTCAACATGAATGATTGACGGTAGTCTATTGCAAACTACACCACTTGATTTGGGTCTGGGGTGGCCATGTAGTAATGTAAACGACGGTAATACGTAAATCTTACATGGCAGGTGTCATTATTATTGATCAATCTTTGTAACTCAAGGGATAGACTTTTTGGTGCTTTTTATAAATATTTTTCACATTGTTTTGATTTTCTGGCTTTCCTGCGATTCGATTCATATCACTGTAACAGAGCACTTTATAACTCTAGAGAGAGTGAAAATGTGCTATGTCTTTGGCAAGGGAGTATCCGAGAGGGGTGGGGGAGGGGGTGAGGTGCGTGGCTAGCCACCCCCTTTAGCATTTGACAATAACGAGAATAAACAATGTCTAAAAAGGACACTATATGATGCCTTTCTATCAGTCAGGCCATGATGGTTTGGGTCACATTATACATAATTATTACATGAAAAGTGCTCTAACACTATCAAATACTTGAGTAAAAAGATATGGATTTCTGAAATTTYCATTTTTTGTTTTAGAGTTTTATGGGATGGCGTGTGCCGACAAGACTAGTTACCAGACCTGCTGCTCCAGTACCCAAGACACCGGCCTCTGGTAGGTTAATTACTATGACATCCTAAAGCTGGCCGTCATTTTAAATATTGGCGACAGATATTGTCATGGCTGTCATATCAAATGTTTAGAAAATTTTAATATGCCAGTAAAAAATACAGCAAAAAAGGGTTGGTTTCCATTCTCGTACCCAGACACCTGGGTGCAAGAATGGGTGGTTTCCAATTTGGCCCACAAATTGGATTTGGTCTATCCAGTTGAATGTCAATTAACATGTTACCTCAACATGGAAAGGATACTGTTATTATTTCATGGGCACATACCTATTGTCTTGACTTCCTCTACCAACTACTTTGTTGCGACAGCTAATCTACGATTCTGTGCATGTTACTGAAAATGAGTGCAGCATTAAAATAAACCATTACTATAAATCCTAGGTTAGTTTTTTCTTTGCTTCTTATTTCTGGCGATAGGGCCATGGGGTAAGGTGATCAAAAAAAACACTTCTTTATATATCAAATTGAGCTGATCCTCGCTGTATATGAAGCAATTTATGCAGCTGCAAATTGAAAGACTCAGAAAAATTGGGAAGTCTTGAACGGGATTTGAACCTGTGCCCTGGAGATTCCTTGCATAAGTTGTTTCATATACTGCGAGGATCAGCTCAATTTGATACATTACAACTGCAGTACAAATATATATATTTCATATATTCTCATACACATAAAAACTTCTTTCTTATCATACACCCTATTATAACCAAAAATAACTCCATTCATACGATCATGTAGTTTGAGAAGCATAATTCAATTATATGACTCTAGTCACTGAAGGCAACTTGTGATTACTGGTTGGAGCTATTATTTTGTACATTATGCACTCTGCTAATAAATATTAACCTCCATTAAGAGTTATTTTGATTTACAACATATCTGCCTGTATTTATTATATTGCACATAACATTTGTGCAAGCAGGCCTTACTTTAAAGTAATTTTACTTGGCCCATGAAAAAAAGCATAATACAGTAGACATTGCGACACTTATTCCATTGCTTTCTGTTGTTTTACTTTTACTCTTAGTCACTAATTATACAAACTTGTATCACGGGTCAAGTAAAATCTCCCTATCCCATAACAAATTATCAGCAGATACTTTTCAGCTCATAAGCATTCCCGATGATATGTAGCCTGCATAACGGCCCAAAATTTCCCAATTTGGGCTGCTACGCAGGCTAGATGATAGGTGACAAAATATATTTCTATGATGAAATTAAAACCTTTTTTGAGGTGTCTGTCTTAGTAGCTTGCATTTTAGATAAATTTCAACAATAATTATTTGTAGTTGCTGAATTCTGTTGAAACATACTTAATCAAAAACAGCCCAAGTGTCCCCTAGGCTGTACCCCACTAGTAACTTCTTTTCCCAACACAAAAATATCCAAACAAAAAATTATCTACAAAATTATTAATAGATAATATTGTAAATGTTATTAGAATGCTTGTACCCCAACCCGAACTTCCACTGACAAATAAATCTCCAAACGTCTCAATGCTTTATCACATCATATTACAGTGCAAATACACTAACCAAGGCAAYCCAGACAAAATTCCATACAAATTAGCCAATCACGATAGAGTATTTAAACAATATGATCTGCACAAATTTTTTCTTTTAAAGACATAATACTTTGTACATGTGTGACCCTTGTGACTGTATGATCAGGAGTGAATAAGAAACAGTTTAAACTCTGATCAAGATGCTAAACTGATGCCATCCAGTCATATTCAGCAAAAACATGATTTGTGAATTTGATTTGTTTGGGTGGCCTTGGTTTATGCAGTCACACTGTAATGGCATTATTTTGATATCATGAATCTCGACCACTAATAATACTTAATATTTCTTATTTCTCTTACAGTATTATCTTATCAAGATGAAAGGAAGAAGCTTAGTTCAAGATTTTCTGGCATGAGCTTGAGATCTGCTGGTAGCCTGCACAAGCCTGTGAATAAAACAGAACACTGTGAGTAATACACTAGGGAAAATGGTAGCAAATGAAGGCCTATTATTCCCTTTTTAACTTGTGGATATGCAAAATGTAGAAACGAGTGATGGTGAGTGATATGCACACTAAATTAAGTTATTAGAGATACTTATTAAACTCATTAATAATTTATGAGGAAAACACAACAGAAATCATGACCGTGAAGAGTTTTGTAAATCAGATACAGAATCCTGTTCATTTGCATAAACCTTAAGATGGATTTTCTTGGCCAGATTCACTTTTATCTTGAAAATTTTAGCGAAACACAAAGGAACTAACCTAGACATTTGATAAGTAATATACAGTATTCGTGTCCGTGTTGTATCCAATATACAAACTCTTGGCTATGCCTCAAGTTTGTATATCGGATACAACACGGCCACTCACACTGTATATATTACATACATGATTAGGAGTGCATTTGCATTATGGTATTTAAAGAGTTGAGATTTTTGCATAAGGTAGCATATATATTTTTAATATAAGGTAGCATATTTAATATATGAAAAACATTGATCTTAATAAATTTGTTTTTATACCAATGCCTAATTATTTGTTTCAGTGCCTCGACTCAGTTCAGTTGCTTCCTCGAGAAAATCTGTAATGGAGCAACCCAAACCAAACTTGCCGAAGGTAAATGGATTTACCAGTGAAACGTATAGCTAAAGAGTTATCGCTTCCAGTATACAGTCAACTCTCGCCTCGCAGACACCCCCATATTACAGACGCCTTGCTTATTTTGGACAGTCGCAAAATTCCTGGTGCAAAATACTCTCAAAGAGATGATCAGAATACTCCTTTTTACTGTTCCATTCAGTGACCACGAATAATAGTTCCTAGCAGAGGCTGGAGTTACAGCGCATGATAAACTGTAGTTTGTATGGAACTGTAAAATGGAGTATTAGCTTTGGATTTATTGTGATGCTTCCTAGCTATTGAATGGACACCAAGTGATGTTCCCAATGGTGTCTTCCGTAACAAGTGTTGCCGGTATTAAACAATTTTATATGACAACACAAAACAAGCATTTCATTTATAATCCAGAGGTTTTACAAATGTTTTGTAGGTTCCTTTTCTTGCTGCTCTTCCGTTCATTGTACTTCTGTTTTTATTTTTTAACAGTTGACTACAGAAGGGGATGTTTTAGAAGGGCTAGAAAAGGAAGAAGCCATGTCCCCACAAGGTAATGGCAGTAATTTGAAGGATTTTTGGTTAATAAATACACTATAGTTCTAAATAATGAACAGGTCATCTATTTTTTAAGGCATCCAATGGACTAAAGTTTCATAATGATGAAGAAATAGAAAACGTGCGCATGTGCTGTGTGCAGTTAAAAAACACACAGGGACTGGCAGAATTAGAAGAAGCACGACACGTAGTGGAGTGCTTCTGGACACTTCTTGAGTTTTCTGCCAATCCCCAAGTGCTTTATGACTGCACACAGCACAGCAAGCAAGTTTTTTATTTCTTTTATAAAATGTAAAGGGCACATGTGTGCTGTGCACTATCATAAAGCACGCACTCTTAACCAATCAGAATGCAAGATTTATAACAGTTATTTTATAACATTATTTCTTTTCAACAATTGTAGGACGCAAAGTCATCAGGAAGATTCTGAATGAGGCTGATAAAGGTGCTGGAAGAACTTCTGTAAGTTAAGTTAGAAGTAAAAATACCTCTTTCCCTCCAAATCAATGTTGGCCATTTTTTTTTGGTTTCTACTGGCCCTCCGACACTGGATAGGAAGGGGGGAGGGGAAGACAGTTGAAAACGAGAGGCACACAATTGGACATTCATACTTTTTAAACACTTGTGCTTGTAATATTTCATTTTGTACAAGATTGTTAGAGTATTTGAAAGTCATTTCATAGAACTTGTGAACAAATTTACACCAATTCATTTTTTCAGCTTTCCCAGAAAGCAATAAGCTCTAATGTAATGGATGCTGTTGACAAATGGTTGGTTACTGCTACTGATAAGGGTAAGTACTACATAGCAGGAACCAAGGAGACAGGAAGGCTGGGGGTGCTATAGTCACCCCCCTCCCCATACATACTAGTCTTATATTTTCCAATCTTAACCCCCACATTTTCCCATACTTTTATATTTTTCAGTTTTATAGCTCCAGTTTTTCCCATTTTTAGGGTGGTCCGCGGTCCTTGTACAAACATATTGCTTTCTTTTAATCTATCAGTTTTCTCTGTAATCACAGAGTGGGACAATCACGAACAGAACCCTCAGATCCATGCTAGGTGAAAGCCCAAGATTGAATTGGAATTTAGGAGTTGGTTTTTGCGGAGGGAGGAAAACCGGAGAACCCAGAAAACCCTTGAAGCACAGGAGAGAACCAACAAACAACTGAACTAACATACAACACCAAGCTYGTAGGGAGTAATCACCCAATACACTATGAGAAGACAGACCACTGAATATCTATCACCTCACATAATTATTATGAAATACGACTGTGTTCACAGTCACTTATTTATTTTCATTTTAGAACGTGAAGTAGCTCTCAAATTCTTCTCCACTTTGGCTGGCGCAAAGGCAGAGTTTCTTAAAGATCCTTCACAGAGATACCACACCCATACTGGTAACAACTGTCAGTACTGTGACGGCAAGAGGATTGATGAAGCACTTCAAACCCTTGCTAGGTAAGGCAGCAAATTCTTAGGGCTAAAAGTTATGCCTTGTCAGTGGTTAGAACAATGACTGGCCATATTGGACTAGGTAATCAACATTCAACCCGTCAATGTTCCTGGCTAGGCATTGTCCATTAACTGGCAATATTATTTTTAAACCTGATTTTCAAAACTATACCTCTTAGTTATAAGTGCATAGTGTTAGAACACTTGCTTCTACTCTGTATTCCAAGATTCAAGTTGCCTCACTTGATTTTGATATTTTAAATAATGCAGGAATCTGTCAGGTTGTTATCTCAGAAAGATCTAACTACAATTTTTTTGATTAAGTAAAAACACAATGCACAAAAATGGTTCAAAAAATCTGTGACTATTCAATACCGACTGCAGTAACAAACTTATTTTTTCCTTAACAGAGGAGACAGTATTGTTATCAGAGGTAAGCATGCCTACAACCCCAAAAGAGAACCAAACTTGGGTCACCATTCTTACTACCACCTAGCCAAGCACAGGTTACCCACTAGGGTGCGTCGGGAGTACCAGACGTGGCATCATCTACCAGTGTATGACTACTCTGACGGAGTGCCCAATAATAGTTCCATGTTTACTCAGCCTCATAAGCCAATTGGAAGGCACTTTAGCATTCATCCTGAGTGGGGCCTTCATGCCCGCATTAAACATGGTGCTTTTTGAGTTGGTGAAAGTGTAATTTAAGGTAGTTTGTGGTGTTAATAACTAAATACTAAGTAAATATTGTCAAAAAAATTTAGAATGTGATTGTTAATGAGTTTCACTATTTTTATTAAAATATGTTCAATAGTAAAAGATCGATCCTTCCATGTTTATATTGACCATTTTATTTCAAGGCTTTGGGTGACTTACCTCAGGGCTTAACAAAAACAGCTGTTCAAGGGACAATGTGTGGCCAGAATTTGAGCTTGTCTAGTAAAATCTTTGCCTCACTGGTCGTTTTGACCAGTATGATTGAGTCAGGAATGATGTAAGACTTCATTTGGCCTGTCATCCTGACCTAAGTCTGACCAGCCATTACTAAACAGTATTTTTAGCCATGAGACTAGAAAGTCAATAAGAATATATACCATCTTTTACCTAACTATGTGCCAGCGAAAAAACTTGGAACAAAAGACAGATCTTTTACTCTTCAAATAATGATACTGAATTAAGAAAACTCAAAAAGTTGTCTATTCACAAGATAATTAACCTGTCTATCAAAATCATTGTAATAGAACTTAGCCGGAGGCATAACACATAACTAATAGACCCTTTTATAATAACTATTTTTTTAAAAAGACATTGTATACAATACTATTTCAATCTAACTGTTGCTATTTATTAAATGGATTGATTTGAGGTTTGAATAAAATTAGTGATCCAAGAATTTATTTTTAATTTAGACAAGCAAATAGTGCCTAAAAGAATGAATTTTGACTGAATTAAAGTTTAAAAAAGTACATTTGAAGTCTTCTTGGTGATATTAACTGTAAAGGTGATACTTGACCTTTTATGCTTTCAATGTGGGGCTTTGACAAGCAACGAGTGCCAAAAAGAATGTATTTTGACTGAATTAAAGTTAAACAAAATGCATTTGAATTATTCTTCTTGATTCATATTTAGTGGTTTATGAATTATTCTGCTCAGAGGCTTCTCACTTCAATGTGGGTCGATCAACAGACATCCAGACATCCAGCCAGATAAATCAGGCTGGTACAAAAAACAAATTAGCAAACATCAAATAAAAACGATTATATACAATGATTGTATTAAGCAGTTGCACAGTCCTCTTTAACTCTGACGAAGGACTAGCATCCGAAACGTCAGTTTTTCCATCTTTTCACGGTGTATAATTTACCCTTTTATCATTACTGAATACACAGTTATATATTAACTTACCCTGCATCAATCATTGATATCAAGACCAAACTCCTCATACATTTGCTTTGTTGTTTTTCCTTTTATTTCAGCTAAAGATTAAATGAGATAATAAATGAATCACAGGAATAATTGGAAAACTGGGATAAAGATTTGATAATTACTGACGAGGGAGAAATTTGATGCATAAGTTAGTAATTTCAAAACTTCTAATATTAAGAATGCTTAGTACTTCCTTCGCAGCTTATAAATAAAGTTTGATCAATACTGTTATTACAGAAGATCCCTAGCATAGCATTACTTTGTAGAGACTACAAAATGGCTAAAAAATGTCTTTCCATGTGCAAATGCCAAATGCCTCTTCGACCCATATTCTTTACCATGGATGACATTGCCACATGCGGATAAGTAACGTACTAGAAACTCAGTTAAGCAGCAGTTTAGGCCTAGGGCAAACGTCGAACTTTCCATGCACCGAACTCATTAAAAACAATGGATATCAGGTGATAATGAAGTGGCATTTTTTGATGTAATTAAGTTCGGAGCATGGAAAGTTCGACGTTTACCCTAGGCCTTTGAGCAGCCATTACTTTTAGCATTGCTGCAATTACAGGCACATTACACAGTTCTTACCTAGTCTGCCAAGAATAAGTTGACCAGCATCTTTGATATCATTGTATTCATGTAGTTTGTCTATGTGATCTTGTAGTTCACTAACATCATACCTAAAGATTAAAAAAATAAAATGTCTGGTCAAAAAGACATTACACATCATTCAACAAGGACCATGAAGCACCCTAGAATGTGGGTGGGAGGGGTGGGTCAGATTGGAAAATATAAATTCTCTGGCTTAACCTACCATTCATACCTAAAGATAAAATAATGTCTGGTAAAAAACATACGCATTTATCATTCAACAAGGACCATGAAGCAAATATAATATAAAAAATATAAATTCTCTGGCTTAAACTACTATTGATAGCTTAGCAATTTGTAAATTCTCTGGCTTAAACTACTATTGATAGCTTAGCAATTTGTACAATGTTCACTTATAATCTTCAGCTATTTCAAGACCTTCTTCTATCATTTGAAAACTTAATCAAACCCCTGCTATAGACCTCCTAGCCTCTCTCCTCTGTGGTCCCTGCTCAATCACAAGATGATATACTTATACTACAATACCCAGTTAAAATCCAGAATACAATTAATAGATCTTTTCCGAATTCGTTTGGATGACCACAAAACAATGGTTTGAAGTTGAGACTGAACTTGATTCTTTTATTCATCAAGTTCAACCTCGACTTAAAACCATTGTTTCGTGACCAGTCAAGCGAATCCAGGATAGGTCTATTGTAATTTCAGAGTTTTTGCTTACTCTTTTTGCAATTCAGCAATTTCTTCCTCTATAGATTTTATCTTCTCTTTTATGGATTTCTTTTCTTCTTCAGGATTCAGGGGAGGTGGTGAAGATTCAGTTTGTTTTGGTCGGAACTTAAAATTAAAGAGAAAAAGAAAATATTAATGTAATTGCACTTCCAAATTACTTGGATCACATAACTTGTGCATTTCCCATTAGGTCATGTGATAAACTGGCCAGGTTTAATTTGCTATGCATCACATTCTGGGAATAGGACGTTTGCATGATGGCGTCATTGACCTCTACCACCAGACTTTTTTGCACACACTTTCTTTTTTTCAGTTCATTAGCAACCATTGTCTAACTATTAAAAAGAAAATCTGCATAGCATCTTGGTAGTGGGAGTCAAATGACGCCATCATGCAAACATTGTATTGTGGGGTTATTTTTTAGAAATCCACTGATTCAGTTCATACTAGCATTTGTTTTAGGTCTTCATAAAATTAAAATGTTTGGCTGTTTCATGCCAGAATGCACAAGCAACTGAAAGAATCATGAGAATCATTGGGGAGAATCTTACGCACTGGGGACTTGAAAGCCTGTCTCAGCTTTGTGCTTGTCCTGCAAAATAGATTCAATAAATGTTAGTTAAACTAACAGCCGAGCTGTGCACTATGCAATGAGAAGGACATTAGGAGTATAGACCCCTTGCACTGAGCCCTGAGAGGAATTGTTCTTGGGGACAAAGCAATATCTTTTTTATGCAAACAAAAAACCTTTGTTATGTCCCCCAGAATAAATYTTCAGGACTCAGTGCAAGGGTCTATAGACCCCTTGCAGCAATTTGGAATGCAGCTCAATCTGGGAGACAAAAGCGATAGGTTCCACTTCTCAGGAGATTGGAAATCTTTTGTTTTGTCCCCCAGATGGAGCTGCTTTGACGTCACATGCAAGGGGTCTATACTGCTAGGAGTGTATACCCTATCATATAAATTAACTATAAATGGACATCCATAGAAAGATACAGGACAAACACAGCATGCAGACGACATTGTAAAACTCTAGTGGACTAAAATGCATGAGACCAAAAGTAGGGTGGCTGAGGCTTGAAATCTAGTAGATATGGAGCAAAAAGCATGGAAGATAAAGGAAATTTCCTACAAAAAGCTTTGTAATATCGACATACCTCATGCCAGACCTTGGTGTTCTCAATAACTTAACATGTGGACTTCTTGGTGAAGCATTAGCACCACTTTCTTCAGGACTTGACTGCTGATTTGTACTACTTCTCGCACGAGAATCCGTCATTTCAAAGACAGCTTTTGAGAGTCTTCACTCTTTTTCCAGTGATAATGAGCATATTTTAAAATTTAGTACTGAATAAACGCAAAGTTTTGCAATATTTTTCTTCAGCCTGGCCCACAAAAGATGGCAGCTTTCGGTTTAAACCTTCTGGTAAAGCAAATAATTCCTAATTCTGAAGTTTAGAAACCAAAAGGCGCGACTCAAAATGATTCTCCGCAACAAGTGGATACTACATACGTATGGCTCAAAAATTAGGAGTAAATTTAGCGTTATTTTTTCAGTCSGAAGTATTTGTTGAATGAAGGAAAAAGTTTCTGGAATCGTTCTCTCAACGAATTTACCGCGTGAATTTGACTTAATAAAACACTCCCTTTGATTGGACAAAACTCTTGAATTTGAACCAATCGCAAGTTGTTTTGAAAGAAGGCTCTAACCATGACGCAGTGGGATTAAAGATAGACGTTCTCTTATTGGGCAAATTTTTGAATGCTCAACCAATCATTATGTTTGTTTTAGTAATGCAGCTTCAGGCAGCCACGTTCAGCGGTATTCCTAGTACTGTCAGGCGTAATATTGTTTGGATTTGCTATGTAACTATGGTAACTATCAAGCGGTTAAAATAGAACTCCATCTTGGAAGGAGAAGTATTTTGAGGGAACCTTTCAAAGTGGAAAGAAAAATATAGAGTTTCTCACTAAAATTAAAAAAGAGAGATATAAGTATACTGTAAGATGTTGCACGAAGGTGGTACAACCCGAATTACGGATGAAATCGACGAACTTCGCCGAAAACTTGCCTTGTTGGGTAAGAGAATTTCTTTAGGAAATTCTAGCTTTTTATTTAAGACGTTTACCATGTTAAATGTTTAAATTATGCTGTATCGAATACGGAAAACTCTTAAAATCTTATGTCAGTATATTTGTAAAGCATATTCGAATTCATTTTGATGATTTTTGCCATGATTTTTTGGAAATGAGAATAACACTAGTAGACTGTGATGAGTGTTAGTGATGGATGGTTTATTTGTTTACAGATGGCGACAGAAAGGCCTACTACGAGAGCTCGCAATGGACTATGAAGAAAAACAAAGAAAACATACAGAAACTTAGAAAGAAAAACAAGGATTTGAGGCTGGACTTGGCCAAGAAAAAAGCGGTAAGTATCTTAAAGAGGTACTATTATAAATTATTTTTGTGATGTACATAAATTTTATATTATTTGAAAGGATTCAAATTTGTAAGCTTTATTACATCGACCTCACTTTTTACATTTACTTTTCTTAAAGGGAGACGAAAAAGTTATTGATGATGCTTTTAAGGCAAGAGATCCTCAGAGACACTGTGCCATGCGTGGAATGTCTGGAAGAGTAAGTCAAAATATGGTTTAAAATTCATATAATCATAACAAAGTAGTTTTTGTGTCATTGTTAAAAGGCAAGGCACAAGGTTCAACCATGGTACAGAATTGATGATAATGGTTTAGCCAATGGCAAGTTGGAAGATTCCTAAAAATGCTTGGAAATGTCATCGTCATAGTCACAGCAGTTACATGTCTGTATACCTTAAGTTTTTCAAAGTCATACAAAATCTACTTTCTTTACATATATGTATATACATAAAGTAAATGTGTAAATGCATGCATGTACATAAAATGCATGTAGATTGTACTGCATTTTTATAGATTGTAAATTGCACATCTTTCCAAATTTTAATGATATCTATATAATAAAACATAAATAATTTTTAAAGCATATTCATTTATTGCTCTCTAACCCAGGCTGCAATCAGCAAGCTTGACCAGCAAGTATGTGAAGGTATAAAGAAACTTAATGCTCTTAAACATACAAGGACCACTAAAGAGAAGAAGCTATTTGAGCTCCAGACAGAGTATGACCAGATGGTAAAGGATGCCGAGGAAGCTGTGAATACAGATGCTGGTGAATCAGCTGATGCTCAGGTAAAGCATAAAGCTTTAGGACTTAACTCTCACTTAGAAATATGCCRTCTTCTAGAAACAGTTTGCTGTCTGATATAAAATTGTTTTATTAGTCAGAGTAGAACTTAAGTCAGTAATCCTCATTCTATGATGAAATTTGAATTTAGAAGTCAATTTTTTTTAGAGGGATGAAAACTTGGAGAGATCAAAAAACGAAAAACAAAATAAAACAAAAAAAAAGCACTTCAAGCACAGTCCAAACACACAATTTTACTCACATATTGTGTCTGCATAGAGATCAAACCCATGTCCACAGCAGTGAGAGACGCTGCATTAACACTACAATTATGCTAGAATTTTGCAATTCAAAAAATATATTAATGAGGTGCAATCGAATTATACTTTATTCTATTTGCATTATGTATTGTTAGAAACTTCGCATGGTGGAAAACAGCCTTGATAAAATGAACCTCAAGTTGAGTGAAGCAAAGAGGATCAGAACCACATATGACCAAATCTTCGAATGCCTAAAAGAAGAGTGTTTGTCTTGGCCAAATAAGCTTGACCAAAAGGAAGCAGAGCTAAAAGCGGCCATGGATGAACTGGAAGAACTGAAAGCCAGTAATAATGATGCTCAGCTAGCTAGAGAAGCTGCAAAGGCAGAGCTGGCTAAGCTTGAGCAGTCGGTTTATGAAGCCAAGAAAGAAAGGGAAGCTGCTTTGGCTGAGTACAAGAAACAGGCTGAAGAGAAGAAAGAACAAGCTGAGAAAGTTGAAAAGAGGGTGAGATACATGCATTTATCCTGTCAGCATAGCAATAAACAATTTTGTTTACTAACTTGCTATCTTTGTTGTTCAGCTTCAAAGAACGTCACTACAACAAGATGATCTGAATGGTAAGTTAATGTAGCCATGAATCACATTTAAAATAATAAATTCACTTAATCAGACCTTGAAGGCTTAGTAGATTCACCATCCAAATACTGTCCTAAGAAAAACATAATGACATCTTTATGCTTTAAAAAAATTCCAAGCGCATGAACATAAAGTGACTTAATAAATATATTGATTTTTCTAGATCAAAGGGCAGCATTATCTGGTGAGGAGCAGGAGCGTAAGATAACAACGTATGAAGAGGCAATGAATAAGATCAAAGATGCCACAGGTGTGTCTGACATCAAGGAGGTTGTACAGAGATTCCTTGCTCAAGGTGACACACAGAAACACTTAATGCAGCTGAAGTCTGACAATGAAAAAATGCTTGTCAGACTTAAAGAGGAAAAGGTAAATACTGATGCTGTTGTCATAGTAACCATTATGATCTAGAGATATAGAATAACGAAGATTAGACATCGTAATTTATCTTGATTGATTAGCATGGCAAACTGTAACCTGCAAGGAAATATACCTTACAGGGCACGAAATTAACTCTCATGAACTCACAAAATGTGGGTGAAATTTTGTATTTAGTGAGTGACAAAATTTTAACTAGCTAAGTTTTGCGAGTGTGACCACAGTCCAGAAATTGAAGGACTGAAAAAATTTAGAACCCGCATGAAGTAAAAGCTTGTTATTCGCTGCGTCCAATCGCTAGTGACTGATCACTGAAATTCTTGCTATTGAAAACAAAACTGACTAGCAAGGTTTTCTAGTGGGTTTAAAAGTTAATTTCGTGCCCAGCCTTGCTTCAAACTCAGTTTTGCATAGGAAGTAATAATCAAGCCAATTAGCATATAAGTGGTAATTAACCTTTGAAATTGTTTGATTTCTAATGAAGATTCTGAATTTTTTATACTTTTACTTGCTAGGAAAAACAAAGAATTGAGTATGAAGAAATGAAGTATTCTGGAGAAGCACGTTTATCAAGGTAAATTCTTTATGAATAAACAGGGATGGCGGAACGGGGGGGNCCCCCATTTTTTGTGAAATTTTAATACATTTTCACTAAACTCAGCCCCCCACTTGCCATACAATGTCACTATTGAGCCCCCCCCCCAATCAAAAAACTGCTCCGCCGTCCCTGATAAAAAGTGCATTTACATGATTGTACTGTGAATAGATTTAGGGGTCTGCAAACCAGAGTTGCAAGAAATGAAGAGAGTTCCGGTAACATAAAATTATATTATACATTTATCTTACAGTGGACAAAGAATGCTCGAAGAATTCCAGCAACGTCTTGAAGAGGAGCTGGCAAAATGTGGCGAGTCCGAGAAGAGACAGATTCATGTCAGTCGCACACTTGTCAATGTCAAGGCTGGTATAGAGCATCTTGCTGATAAGTTACAACATCTTAAAGCTGTAAGTAGTCTGGACTAACAATATTCACGACAGCAATGTCAAATATTATGTTGCTGCTGGGATGGTTACAGCTCTAAATTACACAGGAAACCCAACTTTCTTTTGATTTATTTTTTTGAAAAGGTAACTTTGCTCTTTATGGGTTTCCTGTTGTGCTTTGAGATTGGCTCCCTGTGGCTTGATGGTTTTGATGGGTTTAATCGCCTATCAATATACAGCACAGAACTGATTACAGCTTATATAAGTTAAACCAATCAAACTGATCTCAAACCAGAGTCAATCACAATCCACAGGAAACCCATAAAATAACAAAATTTTGCCTTTCTAGAGGCTGGTTTAGACGGTATGATTTTCGCCTACAACTATTGTATGCAACACGCTTGCGCCATCCTACAACTCGAGTTGTAGCATGTAAATCAAGCCTACAACTCGCCTACAACATACATGACTGTGTCATATATGATAGTTGTAGACGAAAATTGTACAGTCTAAACCGGCCTTAAAAGAATCAATCAAAGGAAAGCCACGTATCCTTTGCCTATAAATACCTGTATAATGGAAGGGATTCATCATTCTGTAGTATTTTACTTGTGCAAGAATACAGTTGTTAACCAAAGAATTCTATTTCTCCTTACTTTTTGACAGCCTAAAGGCCAAGTTCCTCAAGCTCAGCTCTCTCCAACCTCTGATGAATACATTCTTGATCTGTTGGGTACATGTGAACAGAAACTCTTGAAGCTAACAGATGAGTTGGGTGGCAAAGACATTGCAGATGTTATGAAGGAGATGGAAGACTTAGAGGTAGGAAAAATTATGACATTAATATCAAAACCATTAATATGGGCCAGTAATTTGTGCGGTAAAAAATTGATTAAGCCTGAGCCAGTTAAAGTGAATAAAGGATTGCAGAAAAAAAATGTAATAAAGGTTTATACCTGGAATTTCCAGCGGTCACTTTATAATACAGTCAGTATCAAAAATAAACATTAAAATTAGTTAAGTGAGATCAATTATACTTATATTTAGTACATTATTTAGATGGAGCTGTAAATTAATGATTTGAGTTTTCAATAGTTCCGATCAAGTATGGAGGGTAAGCTTCCTCAATACAATACCCGTGTCAAATTACCTGTGGTTACTGAAAGAATGACAACGTATGAAGGTAAGAAAAAAAAATTGTCATACTCTGATAGCTCTACTGATGACTGCTGTTCACCTTAAATTGAATTGGTTATAAATCAAATGAAATTTGAAACTCTATAATAGACAAAGTCAGGATTGTTGTTTTATCAAAAGTGGATCTGGTAATCCAATGCATTAACACATACATTAACTTTCTTTGTCAAAATAAAATTATTGATTATCTCCCTTAAACTTTATTTGGACCCTCTCCCCACGGTTATGGAAACAGCTACAATTCAGCTCTCTTAATGATTACCTTCGGAAAATTTGAGTTATTTTTTTTYTCTTTCCAATTGTAGATGATGAAGAAAGTGGTGAAGATGAAGATGTTCTTTCAAGAAACGCAATCAAAAGATACTCTCAACAACTCGTAGACTCGAAAACCAAAAAACATAAAGCAAGAAAATCAAAGAGAAAAACAAAACAGTAAAATGAATATGACTTTTAGAGATGTAATTTTACATGACGTCCTTTTTAATGAGTTATGTAATCAAGTGTACATATCAATTGTCCTCAAGGTTTTACTATTTGGTGTTGACTAACCATTTTAAGTGTCCTTAATAAATTGAATAACGATTCTACCTATTGAAATCACTGTCTTTTGAAAGGAGTGACTTTACCTTTAATTTAAACCAGTATTTTAAATAAACATGTGAACATGCAATTCAAATTAGTTATTTTACTCCCTTTATTTAATCTAGCCCGATGTACTCTGCATAGGGGCAATACTTTTTCTGCTGCTAGCCATTTCGAACTTCCTGGGTGTGGCATTTCAGACTAAAGGAATCCAGCCAGCTATCAACTTTGTAAAATACATCATTCTAGACTACATTGCTTCCATCATTTTTTCATATTTTTCAACAATCTGTTTCATTTCAACTTGACTTTTCTTGCCATTTCTTATGTCAGCTATAATTTTTCGTACTTCCTCCCTCTCTTCTGGTTGTGCCTTTTCAAGGTATGTTTCCAATGGTTCAATGCCCAATTCAATAGTTTTTTGGAAAGCTTCAGCTTTTGATGAAGCCATCTTGATTGCAATTGTGTATCTGGCACCTTTTATAGGAACATATTAATAGTTTTTAACATTATTAGGAAGCATTGATGTTTTATGACAGTGCTTAATAATTAGACCCCCTGTACTAAATCCCTACCTCGGCCCGGTTGTACGAAGGGCAGATAGCACTATCCAATGGATAAATCCACCCTTTGTACAACCAAGCCCTGGGTTTTAAAACAAATAAAAATATTTAACTCCCAAAAAAGTTTTCATTCCTCAAGGGAAAGGAAATTAGAGCAAAAAATAAACCTTTTCTGAGATTACAAACATCAGGTGCATGGTGTTCTAGTCCCTCTGTACACACATATATCTGCTATTTCATGTCAAAAATACGACAGTTTTCTTTGCTGATAGAGACAAAAGTAACAACTTTTGATCAGCAATCAAATAAATAATTAGAGTACTTAGAGGAACTATACAGGGCCTGGTTGAATGATGGATGGATAGTGCTATCTGAAGAATAAATCCTTATCCAGTAAACAAATTATAACAGTATTGTTTATCTACTGGATAAGGAATTATCCGTTGAATAGTACTATCCAACCTACATACAACGGGGCCCAGTAGTCTACTGCAGCAGCAATTTAACTTTATATTAATTTGTTATATTTTTTTTTACTAGTACATAACATTTTGACAGAAGTAGTAAATATAACTGGAAATTCTGCGAAAAGTTAATGCAAGGTTCGTTTGTGTGTGGGTGGGGAGGGGGAAGTAGATATGGGAAGTAAAAATAAATAAATATGAAAACAGATAGTAGTATACATACCATGGTATAATGGTGTTGGAGGTCTTGCACTATGTGGTATTGTACCATGGAATATTGCAACTCTTCCATATTTTGGCTTAATAGCAAACACCATCTCATTCCTAACCTTAGGCTGCTCACTCCCGTAGTTAAAGAAAACTGTCTCTCCAAGATCATTATTTGTCCAGTTTTTATTCAGATAAATCAAGATGGTATATTCTTCCTGGTCCGGCGCGCAATCAAGATGGATCTTTGTGGTATCATGACTCCGAATATTATTACATCCCACGTCATAAGGGTAAAACTGATCTTTYTTAGATGTATAATTTACTATGGCTTGAACGTATTTCCACAGTGGAGACTCAGTTACAGCCTCTGATTCAAGGGCCAAAATCCATTGAACATTGTCAGTGCTGTCTGGTGAAGGGGGGTCATTACCATAACTCCCATTTTTGATGAACTCAGCAAAGAAATCAAGTAAATTTTTCGGAATTATGTCGTCAAATACAATAATTGGATGGCCTTTTGTCGTTCTAAATTGTCTGGTGACATGCTTTTCGACATCTAAAGTCGTTAAATCAGATGTATCAATGAGTGATGCGATTAACTCGCGGGAGGAGGTGTATCGTTGTTTTAGGGTTGGCTGTGGGGGGAACTCCAGCTTTGCCACTGAGGTGTCACTTGACATTAAAACGCGTATTGTTAAAGTATGAAACCTTTCTTTACAGTCCATTGATGGTGGCTTGATRACATAACTGTAGCCACAATCGAATAAAACCACCCTGCCATTCCTCGGATGAATGCTTTTCAAGATCTCACCATCGTCATCATAAACGACCAACTCACCGTACGAATTTTTATCCCACTTTCTTAACATAGCGAAAATTACCACTACGAATCCCTCCTCTTGGCTGGATCCCGTTTTAGARCAAGAATTSGMAGTTAAAGTATTATCTCCACGTGCRGAAATTTCAGCACTTACTTCCCGAACATGAAGAAAATCTGCTGTWACACCAATCTCCTGAGCAAGYCGTTGTTGAATTCTGTTCCAAATAGGTTTTTCAGAGAAAGAAATCGGGTCATATTTCGTCGTCCAGTAATGAGTTTTCCCGAGACTTATACCAGAATTGTTCGAGGTGCTGGGAGAAACACTGTTGAAGTACCATTCAGTTTGGTCGGAGCTCAGAAGAATKTCGATGGACCTCAAATCCTTTGAAGTACAAATGTCATCCCATACGACAACATCTAAGATTCTTCCGTGGTTAARGGGGGTGATATTAAAGAATACTATAAAGAGTAAACAGAATTTAGGTAGAATGATCTCCATTATGGGGCTTGCAGATAAAAAGTAAAATTTCTTGATTTAACATGTTTAAAACTTCGCAAATAAGTCCCCATAAGTGCACACTTGACCTTAATCCACAGGAAGCCCATCTAGAGGATAGCCTGCCTGCAGCCCAGACGTTCGGCTGCACGAACGGGACRTAAGGCTAGGAGATTGAAGGTGAGGGAGGAACTTCAGTGGTCATGACCTTAGCCCTGTGTCTAGTCTCCTACCTGGTTTCCTAAGCAGCCACTATTAGTGTCGTCACGCAACCGGGGAGCTAACGATTATATATGCTTCTACAAAATCAAGAGTTTGTAATGTAGTTATGACCTCTTGTTTCAAACTACTGAATGTTTTTTTCCTGTACGTTTATTKTATTTCATTAAATTTCTAGTTGTTTAACTATGAAAACTACTGTACTATACTATATGATTCCTTCCACCTTACACATATGTAAATATTACTCACTTTCGTTTTAAGGGTGCAAGAGCTTGTTTAACCTCTGAGGTTGTTCTCTTGCACCCCCCACAATATTTATAACTTATTCAATTTATCCATGTATATGTTTCGTGGAAATAAAAACTGTTGTAACTGTTGTCACAGGAAAAAAAACCGGATTCCCAAATTGGGAATTTGTTGGGAATTTCCTTGAATTCCCATCCAATTCCCAGAGAGAACGAAATTGGGAACGTGGCACTGATTCCCAATGTTAGTTTGCTGGGAATTTTGTTTTTCTGTTGGGTATTAGAAGGAAATTCCCAACAATAAATCCCAACGTTGGTGTTCGAATTGGGAATTCAAGGAAATTCCCCCAATTTGGGAATCCGGTTTTTTTTCCTGTGTGTATCATGCGGTTTGTTTAGCTTTGAAACGAGGGACCTCGGAGATGCGCATATGCCGAGTGACCTGGTGCCTAGTCCAAGGAGGKCAGTCGGGAAGACAAGATGGCGGACCCTCTGTCTTTACTGCGCCAGTTTAACATCAACAAAAAAGAGATCCAGGAAATAGAAGATGAAGTCATATTCGACGAATTCTCCTTCCCAAAGACTGCTAAGACTAATTATGTCATCATCAAGTGAGTCAAATGTGTCTTTGTCTTGAAATTTTATCGGGTTTTTGACTCTAAAAACGTGTTTACAAATATCSAAAAAAGATTTTGGCTAGAAAGAAATATATCTTTGATCTAGTCTCTCAATTCCTTTTGATCTTATTGTAGTGTTAGTTAGTTTRAATATAATGACCGCCATATTTAAGTGTTGGTATTCTCGTTAAAGGTCACAGCCAAAAGAGTATTACACATTGGAATCGTTGCTGTTTCTTCTAAAGAATGTTCATCTGTCTCATCCAAACTATGTCCARCGTGCTGTGGTAAGAACTGTTAATTCCTTCAGGTTATGAAAACTGGCTATAATCTAGCGTTTTAGTCGTTGGAATAATTATTATACCAATTATGTATATATATTAACTAGAGTGACAATAAAATTCTGATTCAGATTTTGTAATATTTCGGTTTAGTGTGTTTAATAAGTTATGCATTGATTTTCAAATATTGATGTAAATAACTCTCTCAGGTGGAGTTTAGTACTATTRGCTTTCATTACGAAACCTAATCAGCTAAATTACAATTAGATCTGTGAGAAAGCTGAGCTTGCTCTGACTTTGATTAGCCAGAGGTTATTCCAGGGTTCAATAGAAATTGGTTTYGTTAAAAATATAATATAATAATATTTTATCATTATCATTGTTATTTCCTTAAATGTTACTAAAATCTTGTCTATTGCTTTCTTTTTCTTTTAGGGTGCAAAGATTCCAGTTGTCAGGCTGCCAGATAGAAGGGTAATCTTATTTTTTATGACATTTCTGTGTTAAGATACATCTTCATATAAGTAAACAGGAAGGAAACTTAAGCATTAAAGTTTCAGATGTTAGTCTTTATTGGAGTAAAAAAAACTGTTCTTTTATACTGTGTTTAATTTTCCATCTTATWTTATTTCCTTGTCATATTTAACACRACCATGCAGGTTTAATAATAAGTAACTGACTTTCATTATCAGTATGTCCTAGCTCATATATTAACTTTTTATCATATCTGATGTTCTTAGTTATTTTTAAATCCCTTGTATTAACTGATTCTAAATATTTCACAATTTCCTTAGGCATTATTGAGCTATCTCAATGGCGAAACAGGTATACAAACCTTAATAGATTGTGCAACTCAGAATTACGATCCAATTATARTTGAATAGAATTTTTAAGCCTCTAAGTTTTTTTGATTCCTAACAGTGATTACACTATCTTGTATCTATAGACACCTCTGCAAGCATTGACAAAAGTGCTCCGTTGGAGATGCCGACACAAAGATCAACAACAGCACGCATACAAGGTACATATTTCTAGTTTTTTACCATGAAAGAAGTACTCATCCTACACTTTAACTTAKGACTTTTTATTCCAGGTCCTAGGACCYGCTTAACTGCTCAAAWTTRGGTCCCAAGGATTGTGTTGTGGATACCAATCAATATTTTAATTTAGGAAGCCCTTTTCAACACGTGTGAACTGAGTCCTGAGACCTATTTGGTTCTCAAGGATTGTGTCATGGATGCTAATCAATGTTTAGAAAGACCTTGTCAACACAAGTGAACTGAGTCYTGGGATGCATTTGTATGAAATATGCAAAAAATTACTAATTTAGGATCAAAGTTAGTAAACTCACAAATTTTTTTGGGCATGCTTTTGGGCRTGAAACTAAAATTTTCCCTGGCCTGCTTGTGAAAAAAGCAGCTGTTCCTACATTCTATTTTGTGATTTTCAACCCATATTTTTTTGATCTATATCGTTCTTATTAGATAYGCAGTTATTTTGAAAGTATCACTTATCTACTTTTTTATTTAATATTTCAATCAACAGCCAACAAACGAGCTGGTGAAGATGCAGCTGGGGGTGAATTCAAAAAGCCCAAAGTTGAGGTACATTTATTTAAAAGTTTCGTTTTGATCTATGCTKATGATTTTTGGTTGCAATGATAAAATTGTTCTCATTTTTTTGTTACAAATAAAGATGTTTAATTTATTGATTTGTATTATTTTAATGTTTGTAGACTGAAGAAGTTATTTTGGACAAGGTAAGAATATATAAATAAGAATTTTTGCACTAAAGAATGTTCCGTTGAAATGCTATGTTTTGGATTATTTRCTATAAAGCTTAGATAATAGATATGCACAATCTGATTGGTTGAGAACTGTGCTGTGTCAGTGAACAGAGCACGGTTGATGATGCCATCGCTGGCACTTCAAATTTTGAAAAGAAGTGTAAAACAGCATTAATAACTAGAATGTATTTTTCTTTTTATATGATAAGACAAATAAAACAGCTTTTCTGTGCTTTGTTCAGTAATAAATCACTTGGAAGCATTGAAAGCACTCAAGAAGTGTGAGAAGCATTCACCTACAACTTGCACTTCTTTTCACCTATTGTTCATGCTTACATCACTAATCCTAAAGTCCTAATTATTGTTAGATACGTTGCCTCTTATAAATAGTCCTTCTCCCAACCAATTAATTTGAATTAGATTGTCAGAAAGTGTTTTTCACCTTTGCAAATCATATCTCCAAAAAATCAAATATATAATTTTCTTTAACCTTTTGTTTTCAGAGAAAACTGGAAGCTCGTCTTGAAGGTCACAAGGAGGTGACTGTAACAACAGATCAGATGAGGTACTATGATTGCTTTAACTTTACAATGAGGAAACCACTGTAATTTATTATTGTTCCTGACGAAACATTATGGGCTCTAGATGAATAAAAATCAAGTCATCTTGGAAACACTTCTTTCAGAGAGTCATATAAAATTTTACTTTAGACCATAAAGATGTTTAAAACTGATGCTCAAGTTGAGTTTGGGGTTAAATGTAAGTACCAGTGTACATGTAAGTAGCACTGGTCTCCCCAGAGGTAATCATGGCAAGCAGCCATCGGCCAATAATTTTTAAATGATTGAAATAGTGCAACAACCTTTCAGGTCTTTGAGTGAAGCCATGACCAAAGAGAAGATTGCTGCTATTAAAGCCAAGCGTCTTGCCAAGAAGAAGACAACAATCCGTGTGGATGATGAGCTTGAACCAGATTTACTGGTATGAAATCACTTTTTTATAATTTTTTTATTTAAGTGTCTAGTCTTTATTGAGCTTTCGCACTTTTCGCTCACGTGCACTACCACTACATTTAATATTCTATGCACACAATGCTCAACTCACATTTCAACAATTCAACAATTCGATATTCCAGATAGGAATTTTCATGGGTAGTTATAGAGTGGTTTCACAGTTAGATGTTTTAGGTCAAAGCTATTTTAAAAAATTTCCTCTTCTGACTTTAATCAGATGAGTCCAAAGTTTGTTTTAAACAGGGTATTGATTAGATTTGGAGTTTTTTTCCATTGGTCTGTCCTTACTGTAAAGAGTATTAATATTTTAATAATATCATCATTTTATTTGTCTGTTTGTTTAGAAACAACGTAGTTTTGTTGATGCAGAAGTGGATGTAACAAGGGACATTGTCAGTAGAGAAAGACTTCTCAGGACACGTACCAGTGTTCTTCAAAGCTCTGGCAAGGTGGGGAAATGATACTGTTACACTATTATTTTGCATGATGCAATTTGATAAACCATTGGGCATACTGTAGATGAGTAGTAAAGATGCTGTTGACGTACATCCAGCCTAACCTGCTTGTGAAGTGTTGAGGGTTTTCCACAATAGACCTCTATAACTTGTACGCAATGTTCACCCACTACAGAACACTTGTCATTCTCTTCAGAATAAGATTCTTTGTTTGAGTTGTGTCCATATTGTATCTTCTCATGTGCAACCGTTAAACAAAGAAATGATACTCAAGAGAATGACGTGGTCTGAAATGGGAAAACATTACACCCGAGCAGAGGAGGTCTATTGTGCAAAATCTACTCCAACTGCATTCAATATGGTAGTATAACAAACAGGGCCATAATTTTCATGTTTATTGCTGTTTTCAGCATTTTGTCAAGAATATTTTAGCCATACTTCAGTCTGTCAAGGCTAGAGAAGAAGGRAAACACAAACAGAATCAACCAGCAAATGCATTAGCCCCCGTGGTAAGCAAAACACTTCAAAATCTCGAAAAATACTCCATTTTGAGTTCGACTTTGCTCATCCTTAACCTCAGTGGTGTGCAAGTGTGTTATTTCCTTTAAAGCCATGACAGATGACACAACAAAAGAATCTTTTTTCCCTGGGAAACTGAATCCTTTCTCGTATAAAGCAGATTAGACTACAGATTCAATTGTTCCTGCCTCCTGTCATTGGCTGCCATCACGTGATGGTGAAAAGCYTCTATACAATAATGCAATACAATCTATATTCGAAGAGGGAAAATGCATTTATTTAACCATTTAAATTGTCTGTCATACGGCACCTTCAAAGTATTGTTTTGTGGTATGATTTAGGATGCTGGTAAGAAAAAAGCAGTAGTTCCTGTGGCTTACAACAGATACGATCAGGAACGATTCAGGGGAAAAGAAGGTAATGACAAGCGCTATCCACAATGTATGGATTTACATGACTTCTAGAAATCTTAATAATTACTTAGGAAAACATGATATAAATCAATCACCCAGGAGAAGTCTGTAAATCAGATWTAGAATTGTTCTTATTTGCATTCAATTTTTACATGGATTTTCTCTCAAACTCACTCCATTCTCAAAATATGAAACTATCACCTATTAGACATTCAATAAGCAATATGTGATATTTAAACCATGATATCTGCTTCTGATCTGTATGGGCTTTACATATCATTGTATACTTTAAATGTTGAATACAGATCGGCTCAAGGGCGGATCCAGCCAAAAGTTTAGGGGGGGGGGGGGGCTAATTGAGTTTTTTCCGTCAACACAACAGAAAACRATAAAAAAGTATCTAATTCTTCAGTTTTGTTTTGTTTTTTTTYYTKSCCCCCTGGATCCACCCTTGCGGCTGCTCATATTATTACAATAAATTTTTTTATTAGTTTAACATACATTTACCCTGGTCCTTCCAGATTGGGGGTTGGTCATGGGGCTAACGACCCTACCCTGTTAAAAGTCAAATGTACCAGAAACTGCAAAACATATCCTAACCTACTGCTACATTCATTGTGATTACAGAAACTGAAGGATTTAAGATTGATACAGCTGGTACATACCATGGATTGAGTTTAGAGCACGTCAAGGTATAATGAAGATTTATTTACTAACTATTAATTTATCAAATTATGAATAATATTGAATACAGAATCATCCTCAATCGAATTCATCACAGTAACTCTCTCCTGCGTCACTGTCTTATAGGAAGGAACACACAGGCCAGTAAAAAGGCCAGCACCAAGCCCTTCACCTCACACCCAACCGTCAAAGGCTCTGAGACCAAGTATGTCACAACACTGAATTCTTTCTATTTGCTGATTGTTTTCTTGTGTTGTTATTCTTACCTTATTCTTAATTGTTTCTTTATTTTTGCAGTTCAACAGAAACCAAACAAACGAGGTAAAATACTGTATACCCTAAAACGGTTTTATTTGTTATTCATCAGGGCCCGGTTGTACGAAGCCTGGATAGCGCTATCCGACGGATGAATCTTATCCACGGATAAATTTTTTGGATAACAGCATCGACTTATCCACTGGATAGAATTTATCCGCTGAACAGCGCTATCCAGGCTTCGTACAACCGGACCCAGGTTGTACATCTCACTATATAGATACAAACTTTGATTTTATAATGTGGATTTTTTTCTTCCTTACAAACCGTAACATACAGTACCCGATGAGCAAGGTTGGATTAAGTCTATATGAATGAGGCATTGCTTGAAGCCAATCCGACCCATTAGGCCCTGGCTAAACGAGGAAACAAGTTTTCAAGAACATGTTTCCCGCGCGCATGTTCCCCGATGATTCCAAGTTTAGCCACATGCAAAACATTACTACGTGCAACAAATTTTGCTTCCAAGACGCAAAAATGTTTTTGCTGTGCGGCAGAAACATTTCATGCTTCCAAGACGCATGGAAACAATGTTTCCCAATGTTTCCTCGTTTAGCCACGAAAGTCAACATCCTAAAMGTTCGTTAMTTAGCAACGCTAGCTCTATCTTGAAAGTGCGCATGCGCTAACCGATATTGAGTAAACRTGTTTCCCGATGTTCCCTGACAGKTTTGCCACTTTTGGAAACATTTAAGAAAACATGTTTCCTCGTTTAGCCAGGGCCTTAGTTTGATAATGATGGAATTGAAAGTTCATCATATCATATTTCCACCTCGGCTTCTCCATGTGGGATGGGCGAAATATTAAATGAATTAATCATAATCTCTGCATGCCTACTAATGACGAGGAAAAAATATTAAAATGCCTGAGAGACTGCGTTAATATTTTCTTTCATTCRACGTACATACAGTATTGTTTTCATGCTACTTGGTGACTTGTTATTGAGGTATAAAAGCTTGATTGTATTTCAGAATCCAGAACACCAATCATCATAGTTCCTGCTGGCACAACATCCCTCATCACATTATACAATGCTAAAGATATACTACAAGACTTTAAGT